TGTACGAAAGACAAATGCCTGCTTCCAAGCAAATCATACAATTGTGTTGGAAGTAACACTGAGTGATCTCATCCAGTGGCAATTAGGCCCACCCAATTCCCAATTGCTTAACCCGCATGATGACTGCATTACAGCTTCACGACCCCAAAGCTGTCTAAACGGTCTGCCACATATGATTGATAAGTTCCAACCTCTGATCTTCATCAGTCAGCTATCTATACACTCCAAAAAGTCCGGATTCTGTTTCTGCAACCCTTTCGTTGGTCCAGGGTTATGTAATGCCAGAAAGTAGTTGATGAGCGCTGCCAGAGGCAAGAAAACCTAATGGTTGCCAAACAATGCAATCCAGCACTTGAGGTGATCTTGAGCGTCCGAGTGATTACTGAGAGCAGTGTTGCTGCATCCATAGTGTCAGGCTCTTATCAGACTATTGCCTGAGACTCGGGCTCATCACAGTGTCAACTGCATCATACTGGGGTGTTACCTTGGCTAAGGTAACTAGTACATGATGTTGGTTTAAGGAGTTCCTCCTGCCTAATGTCTTTTCATTAAAACGTACAAATTATTGTTTCCAGTACACTATTTTTTCAAATATTTCAAAGAGAAAACCAGAGTAAGTACGAGAACATGACAGGTTGTTCAGAATCCCAGTAAAATGAGACATGATCTTAAAGAGAAATAGATGTGGAGTTTATAACTAACTTTACAACTCCGTATGCTATTTGTGTGGTGATAAGTCATATGTCGAGTCCCATAGAGTTGTTTTGGCAAAATCGACAGCCATATTGCTGATGTCATTTGCATTTGTTTAAAATGTGAAAGTAAAAGTATTTTCACTCTCTCTTCACTCTGTTTCCTCTGCACGAAATAACAAGTAACGGCCAGTCTCTAAGTGAATGCACTAACATTGTCTATCAGTTGGAATGCAATAATTGCTAATGCCGAGAGGTTCTAACGGATGATATGCAGTTTAGTATGAGGAAGTAAAATACTTTATGGATGACAACTTCCTTATTATATATGATGTGACGTGTATGTATAGATTCTTATACCATTGTCAAGCAAGAGTGAGTCTTGTTTGACAACGGTTTTAGAATCTATACCGAAACGTCGCTTCATATATAATAAAGAAGTTGTCACCCGTAAAGTATCTTACTTTCTTATTACTCACCAACTTCTAAAATTCCAATCAAACAGAACAGTTAGTATGGTGTTGGACTGACTTCGTGACTTGAAATAGGTTAATGCTGCTGGGACTATTTTCGGAAGAGGAATCCATAGCTACAAACTAATAAGCCTAAGCCCTTCATTTCCAAATGTACGTACAAAAGGGAAAAATGTTACATCTGACAGATGACATGAACGTTCCTTTTTTAAACACGGTTACATAAAATAAATATCTGGATTTATGAAGGAAGGCAAGTTTTGTTTTCTTGCTCACGCTGAATAAACTTGCTTTCATATATAGCAATATAGTATTGATTCTGGTAGAAACCAAATTCATCTAACTTTTTATACACCTTTGCTTAAAAGAGTCCGTGAAATGTCCCTTTCGTCAGAAGATGGATGTTTAATCAAACACTATTTAATTAATGTTTCACTAAAGCCATGAGTTTTGCTGCCTCGAGTACGTGCTAACAACAGGAGTGATTATCCAAGAAATGTTCCTCCCTAATGTTGTCTGACTTTGCATTACCTCAGCATGATAACCTATGACAAGGTGGTGAATTGGTGACATCCCTTGGGCCATCAGAATAATTGGTCAGCATTAAACATATCATAAAAGCCCTTTGCTTGTTTTCGTGTAAATGTTTTAGGCACAGAATGTAGGTTTTGTGTGTTTCTGGAAAGTGGCAGAACAGATATATAGTTTTCCGCTGGTTGTGAATGGACTACCTCAGAATGATGGTGGCTTTAATGGCCTCTCATAAAACGCATGTTGGTGATTTGCGATCCTTGCATCTGACGTTTATTTGAGGGTGTTGAGATTGTAGAGAAGGTAGTTTTCCGAAGATCTCAGTTATGACTCTATCCTCCTCACCTGGCATGTTGTAGATATTTTATTCCTCTGAAAGTCAAGGCTACACCAATGCTTCTACAACTAATTGAAAAGTATTGCGTCTTCAGTAAGACCTATGGCATTGCTTGAGGTAGACGTATTGCTGTTTTCGATTTCTGGGCAATAAATCACCTGAAGTGTTTCTAAAAGCAATCGTCTTGTTCGAAAGAAACCTCTAATCTTTTCCTTGATCTACTCAGGTGAGCGAGTACTGCTTTAGGGATCTTTTAGCAATAGTCCAGCAAAATAACGACAGAGGACACCAGGAATGGGCGTCACACATTGTAACTATATGGGGAATCGAACCCGGGTCGTTTCTGCACTTTAACAATAAGACCACCCAAACTTCCCCCCTTTTAAGTAGATTGCGTCGGATGTCAGGATAATGATTAACCACGCGCTGTGTTATCACACTGGGCGTCCCAATACGCTGATATCGAGAGCGGTTGGCCCTGACTTTCCTAGGTGCTATTCGATGTGTCTCTTTGGCATGAGGACATTGTGATTCGGGATTCGAATATGGTTCTTGATTTCCCAAGGGGTTATATTTCTATTAACTGCATCCTACCCCACAAAACGTACATAGTGATATACTGGAATACTCTAATACAGCGGTGTTTTACCAAATTATCTTACTCCCTCATTATGAAAGCTGTGACATTTTCATGAACTATGTACATCATAACGGTAGGGGTGGTGGGGTAGCCTAGTGGTTAAAACATTGGCTCGTCACGCCGAAGACCCGGGTTCGATTCCCCACATGGGCACAATGTGTGAAGCCCATTTCTGGTGTCCCCCGCCGTGATATTGCTGGAATATTGCTAAAAGCGGCGTAAAACTAAACTCAGTCAGTCAGTCATCATAACGGTAACGTGCAATGTTGTCAGCCTAAGGGTACTATTTGGTAACTTCAGATATCTTTAGAAGAAGGAGCGATAACAATTAGAAAGGACCTGAGGGCATCTGTGATTTCGGTTCCAGTTTCAGGGAATGGTGTAATGCGTAACCAACACAATTACATTGTAATGTCCAGCTTATGGCCAACAAAACAGTGACTAGTGATTTACATCATCTGCCATGTGCCATCAACATGGTAACAAGAGAATTTCGGATTAAGGGTCAAAATTGGTTTCAAAGAATAACGTTTTCAAGTCAGGTAATCTGGTTCAGTGTCGATGTGAAGACTTACCCATACACCAACATCATACAACGACGGATATGTATGTCAATGTAATGTCTTGATACAACAGTTAAATGGCCTAAACATGGCGTAAAAGAATGATCATTCATTCATATTCAATCTACAAATTTGATTGTCAAGACTGTACATACATACATAACCATTCAATACACCTCTGAACAGTCGTTTCCAGCAGTGTACTATTATATTACTTATTGCAAGAGTCGCTGAAATGTATCTCTAATGTGATATTCATGTTATGGTTGACTTTAACGCTCGTGTTGGAGATGGTAATCAGCCACCTGACGCTCCAGATGATAGAATTGATCACTATTTTCCTGAAGATGAACCAGTACCTATAGACACCAGGTCAACTCAGGATGTTATTGTAAATAGATTTGGGAATCTATGTTTGAACTTTTGCTATGTTTTTAACTTGTTTCTAGTTAATGGACGTGTGAGGTGATGAACGAAGTCAGTTCACGTACATTTCTGACCAGGGCTGTAGTGTTATTGATTATATTATTTCGTCCCCTAATTTATTCAAGTACTTTTTTAGTTTCAAAATATGTGATAGAATTGAAAGCAAACACATGCCACAGGTACTCAGTTTCAAAAGTGTAAAAAGCAATTATAATCAACAACTGGAAAATGATTGCATCCCAAAATATAAATGCAAATCATGTGATGAACAAATATTCGTATGTAATATATATGATAGAAAGCATGTACTAGACTTACTCATAGATTAAATTTCAATTGAAATTAATAATGCTGTTTCCAAATTTGCAGATTGTATATTAGAAGCGGCAGGTTGTATGAAAATGCCACCTCGATGTAAAACTAGACCTAAGAACTTCTATGGTAGTGATTGCCACATGGCTAAATTAGAGGCAAGAAAGGGGCTTAAGCGCTTTTGAAATGATAGAAACAACCTAAATAGAAAGACATATTGCATACTCAGAAATACTTAAAAAATAAATGTAGGAAGTGGAAAAGAATAAACCAACAGCTAACAGCCAGAAAGTTATATAACTCTAGCCACAATCCTATATCGTTTTGGAAGGAACTGAGAAATATATCTAATCCCAGGAAACCACCACCCGATATTTCGGATGAATCATGGTTTAATCACTTCAAATTACTATATGATAAAACTGATCTTACTGATCAAGATCAAGATACTTTTGTTACATGTGCTGCACATATATGTCCTGAATCAAGCGATTTTGAGAAACCGATTTTGGATTCTCCAATTAAAGAAGAAGACATTTTCGATGCTATTAAACGGTTAAAAATTGGTAAATCGCCTGGGTCGATAATATACTAGCATAAATGAATTGAATCATCGGAAAATGTCGTTATGCCATTTCTTCTCGTATTATTTAATACACTATTTCAGAGCGGCAGCTCTCCAGATGCTTGGAGTAAAGCAATAATTATTCCATTACATAAGAAGGATGATATCCACAACCCAGATCACTATAGGGGCATTTCATTGTTAAGTATTTTAAGCAAATTATATACCAGCATATTAAACACTCGTTTAACACAATGGGCAATTATCATGAAAAGATATCAGAAACTCAAGCGGGTTTTAGAGGAGGTTATTCTACCATAGATCACATTTTCACGTTGAATGCACTTATTGAAAAATGCTTATGTAAAAAGAGAAAAAAAATTGTTTATTGCTTTCATAGATTTTAAAAAGGCTTTTGATTCAATAGACAAATTTAAATTATGGAGCTTGTAATCAAGCTACGGCTTGGGTGGGAAAAAGATGCTAGCGCTGAAAGGTATTTACTCTTCCGTTAAATCATGTGTGCGATGTAATTCACATTTAACAGACTACGTTAACTCTCCTTTAGGTCTAAAACAAGGTTGTATGCTGAGTTCAATACTCTTTTCTCTGTTCATAAATGAGCTTTCTATTGAAATTTCACAAAATGGAATACATGGCATCCAGTTATTTCCCGATATGATAGAAGTTTTTATGCTACTTTTCGCTGATGATGTTATTTTAGCTTCAGATACTAAATGTGGTCTTCAAAATCAATTACATATTTTAGCATTGTATTCAGATAAGTGGGGTTTACACGTTAACCTTGATAAATCTAATATTGTTATATTCAGGAGAGGAGGTAGACTTAAAAGAACAGATGCATGGTACTTTCAAGGTAATAACTTAAAGATAGTCAATAGCTATACGTATCTCGGTTTTCTATTCACGTGTAATGTTAGCCTAGGCAAATCGTTATCCGATCTCTCCTTGCGTGGTAAAAAAGAATGAATGGAATTAAATGGCAACCTTAGAAAAATCGGTTCGTTATCATCGGATAATAATCTTTTTCAAAATATTTGATAGTCAAATACAATCTATCCTATTTATATGCTTGAGAAATGTGGGGATATAAAAAATATGAATGTATTGAGAAAATACATCTTTCGGCTTGCAAATTATACCTAAACGTTGGACCTCAGACACCTAACGCTATTGTGTATGATGCATGTGGCCGTTTCCCTATTTTTGTAAATGCAGCTATTCGTTGTCTTAAATACTGGATTGAAATAATAACAATGCACAAAGATCGCATACCAAAGAAAGCTTATGAAATGTTACTTAATCTCGATAACCTTGGCTATGAGACATGGGCTTCAAAAATTCGCTATTTGCTCTTTTCTTATGGATGTGGATTTGTTTGGTTATCACAAACTGTTGGAAATCGTGTAAGTTTTAACGGAATCTTTAAAACGCGTTTAGTGGATGTTTTTAAACAAAACTGGAGATCCGATCTTGACAATTGCACACCTTATGTTTTGTATAGAGAATTCAAAAGCGTATTAAACCCTGAAAAATACCTTTTGAAATTGCAGATTATAAATTACGTAAATATTTAGTTAGAATTAGAGCAGGATTACTAAGGTTAAAATTTAATGACGGACGATGGTGTAAAATTAACGCATATTTGAGAACATGTCCTATCTGTTACGGAGGTGTAGAAGACGAATACCATTTTACATTTCATTTGTCCTAGATATGATGACTTACGTCGTAAATATTTACCAAGTGATTTCAAAACGAATATGTATAACTTTAACAAACTACTTATGACAAATAACGTACATAGTTTGAAAATGCTCAGCCTATATATAATGCATTCTTATGAACGAAGATGTAAGCTATTACAAGAATGATAATATTAAATACCATATTATACTTTTGTATTATCATATCTTTATCTACTTTATCCATATTAACCTGTATTGTATCAGATTACCTGTATACATGTATGAAGATAGGCGTGTATTCATATATGAAAATTGCACTATAATGTATGAAACTGTATGTATATGGGCCCGATGGCCTTTGTACGGAAATAAAGTTTTGATTGATTTTGATTGATAATTTGGCCTGGTTTGATGATGCGGACTGTATCGTGCCTTCTTACTCCTTCGTCCTTGCCTCATTACATAAGTAATGTCTTTTAATTTGGACTTTGTGACACTTTTTCTCGTTAAAAAGAAGGATTTAATAGATTACAGAGTTATACTTCAAATTGGTTACGGAACATTCTGATAACACCATTAAACAATTAATCTTTTCTTCCGATTTCTCGAAATCACTAATTATTACGCCTTTAAATTGGCATAATATGTAGCCGTTTCAAAAAAGGCTTCGCTTATGCTCACAGGTTACAGAGATCGACTGCTTCAAGTTGAGTTCGTTGTTTGGATTATTCAGTAACCATGTAGTATATATTTATTAACCAAAGAGATTCATGTAGCGTAATTGCGCACTGAGCAATAATCAGCTATGTGACGGAGGCCTTGAAGCAGGACCGGAATAACAGCAGTGACTGATATAAAGACCAGCGACCCATGCAATCAACAAAGTGAGTAAATGACTTTCGATTTACGCCGCTTGTAGCAATATTCCAGCAATATCACGGCGGGGGACATCAGAAATGGGCATCACAAATATACCCATTTGGGGAATGCAACCCGGGTTGCGAACGCTTTAACCACTAGGCTATCCCACCGCCCCCAATCAACAAAGAAACTGCTTCAGTTTGAACCTCCTTAGTCCCTTGACTATACTGACAGAATATTACTCCGTACACCTGATGTGTTGTTCCAGAAATGTTTTATCCATTAGATATAAATGGGAACAACACCGAGAATAACATAGCGTCACACAAATTGTCTTACTTAATCCCTTGCTAGTATTCCCTTTTAAACCTACTTTGTCTTTCACATCAGTATACATTTACACCATAACATTTACAATACCTACACCGTTTAGTCAAATACACATTCTAAGTGGAAGAATTGGAAAACAGGAACGTGTAAAACTCAATGTGGTTTTACATTAAGTGAATACACATCTGTCATTTTGTACTTTTTGAACATGTTGTACTAGCTCGGAATGTATTAAACTTACAGGGACAGTAGTTGGTGCACATGAGAGATACAAGAGACTTAATGTTTACTATAAAAGTGCTAGTCTGACAGTTTGATTACAGAGTAGCATGATAAGCGAGCCTGTCATGACAACAATATACTTAAAGCCACAGAGTCTGCACAACTCTCATATAGACTCCCTATTAAATTGTAGGCAATCTGCCATTGATATGTTCAAAACCCAACGCCCCTGGTATCTCCTGGAAAAGTGTCAAGAACTATACCACCATTCCATGAACATATAAACGAGTTTTTGTTAGCGCCTTCTAACACTAGAGGCTTAAAAATATACCATGTTCCCATCCTCCAGCTCCGTATATTCCTGAGGGCAGAACTTGAATATGAATAAAACATCATTAAGGATCCTACGGGTCTTATAGTTAAGGGTACATAACTTAACAGATGAGCATCTCCAAGCTCGTAGACGCACAGTCTGGTACTGTTGGTATACAGTGTTGTGAAGCTGGAGGTAGATGGCGCTTGTGCCGTTACCTGAACATATGGATGTCACGTGGGTTTCCTCACCATTTCATTATGTCAGCAAAACCTGTTTCGCAATATATATTCAGATGTGGTGCAGATGTTATATACAATTATTGTAAAAATCACCCACCCATGTGTTACGAAGTTCATTCGTATTTTGATTTAATAACGCTGGTTCAAAACCTCTGTACCGTACACAATTCTAATTCGAAAAATAGATCAAATGCATACAACATCTTAATGATCTTTATGCAATATTTCTAATTACGTTTGTCAGGCAAAAACATACACAGTGGCTGAATGCTGTTCCCACAGCACCTGGGAAATATAAACACGGTATATGTTTAGTATGGAACACTGACCTTTAATGTAGTCACAAATTTCATAAAATACTAATTCATGTTGTGAATGAATCAGGAAAGAAAAACTCACCTAAAGGAGAGCGAACTACACATTTTGCAGTTCATGATTCCCCGTTCAAGGTGAATTTCCACTCAGGAATTATTCTGTTGCTTTCTGCAAATGAGTTTGTATGGAATACTCTAGAGCGCTTACGACAACCCTCATCATATAATCAATGCGGTGAATACCGGTGCATACATGCACTTTGCATTGGAATTAAACAACAGCACGTCTTAATAAAAGTGTTACTGTAACGGAACTATTAAATCATTCTGTAACAGTGGAAAACTAAGTGAACTGCATTAATGCAATTTGTCGTTTGGCCTTGGTATTATTGATGCAATGGAGATTCCTACTGGCTACATTTACATCGTTTGCTCGTCACACGGGTTCGATGCTCAATATGGTTTCAGTACAGTAAGCCGAGTTCCCGTTGTTGTCATACCTCTAACAGTAGCTATCATTACGGACAATGGACACTCCTGATGGCACACACAGGACAGACAATGTTGACCCGAGGGTCATTTATGTATAAGGCAGTTCTTTTTCGACAAGTATGTAAACAGATCTGGACACAACAGTGTGCAACAAATCATCCACTGGACTAATGGGATTTCCATTAACTGATAAATAGCTGCATTTCCATAGGAATATCGATATGACAAAAATGTTGGAGTGAGTTCCTAATGACTTAATTATGATGTATTATCAGAATGACTGATGTGTTGAGTACTGTGTACATGAGAAGGCGTTCGATGTGTTATGAATTAGCTCCTCTCCTTCTCCATGTGGAATTCAGAACGTGTGTGAACGCTACCAAACTGGACATCGCGTTGATGTATTTTGTGCACAGTGATAAACATTACTTGGCAACTTGTACGAAAGACAAATGCCTGCTTCCAAGCAATCATACAATTGTGTTGGAAGTAACACTGAGCGATCTCATCCAGTGGCAATTAGGCCCACCCAATTCCCAATTGCTTAACCCGCATGATGACTGCATTACAGCTTCACGACCCCAAAGCTGTCCAAACGGTCTGCCACATATGATTGATGGTTCCAACCTCTGACCATTCTGATCTTCAGCAGTCAGCTATCCTTACACACCAAAGAGCCCGAATTCTGTTTCTGTAGGTCTCTTCGCTGGTCCAGGACTATGTAATGCCAGAGAGTGGCTGATGAGCGCTGCCAGAGGCAAGAAAACCTAATGGTTGCCAAACAATGCAATCCAGCACTTGAGGTGATCTTGAGCGTCCGAGTGATTACTGAGCGTGATAATGCTGCAGCCGTAGTATCTGTGGCCCTTGTCAGACTACTGCCTGATACTCTGGCACACCATTGAGTCAACTGCATCATACTGGAGTACTACCATGACCTCATGTTGTAAGGGTAACTTGTAGATGATGTCCGTCTGAGCAGCTCCTCCCGCTTAATGTCTTTCATTTAAAAACATAAAATTATTGCTTCCAGTACGCTAAATATTTATGCAATATTTCAAAGAGCAAACCAGAGTACGTACGAGAACATAACAGGTAGTTCAGGATACTGACAAAAATTCAACAAATAAATGTGGTTTATAAGTAACTGTACACCTTGGTATGCTATTTGTGCGAAGATAAATCATATGTAGAGTCTCAACGAGTGGTTTAAGCAAAACCGACAGCCATATTGCTGATGTCATGTACATTTGTTTGAAATGAGAAAGTCATGTCTATTTTGTGGATATGTTCTCTCTTCACTCTGTTTCCTCTGCCAGAAATGACAAGTCTGTGCACTACGGCCGGTCACTAAATGAATGGAGTAACATTGTCTAGCAGTCGGAATGCAATAAGTGCCAATGTGGAGAGGTTCTAACGGATGATATGCAGTTTAGTGTGGTGCTGGACGGACATCATGACTTGAAATAGGTTAATGCTGCTGAGGCTATTTTCGGAAGATGCACCCATGACTACAAACTAATAAGTCTAAGCCCTTCATTTCCAAATGTCGCCAAATAACTTCCAAAAGTGAAAAATGCCACATCTGTCAGATTACAGGATTACACGGTTTACATAAAATAAATATCTTGACTTTTGAAGAATCTCTTGCAAGGAACAGAAAGAGATGGCAAGTTTTCTTCTCACTCTGAATAAACTTGCTTTCATATATAGCAATATGGTATTGATTCTGGTTGAAAAAGATATTTTCATCTAACTGATGATAACACCTTTGCTTAAAAGAGGCTGTGAAATGTCCATTTCGTCAGAAGCTGAATGATTAACCCATCGTCAGCCATCAAACACTATTTAATTGATGTTTCACTAAAACCATGAGTTTTGCTGCCTCGAGTACGTGCTCACAACAGTAGAAATGTTGCTGGCTAAAGTTTTCTGATTTGCTCATTAACTCAGCATGATAGGATATGACAAGGCAGTGTATTGGTGACGTCCCTCGAGCTCGGGCCATCAAATTAATTCGTCAACATTTATACCTATTGTGATTGTTTATGTATATATGTTTACCGTACTGAATACAGTGTCTGTGTGTAGAAAGTGGCAGAAACAGAAAACTGGCGAAGTGTTGGGTCGACGTTTACAGATGGTCAGTGATCACTGATCCTTTTCCAGAATTAGAATTACCTCCGAGATATAGGTTTCCTGGCTGGCTTTATGAATGATGGTACATTAGCGGCCGTTATCTCAGAATGATCCTTGCATTTGTCGCTTGAGGGTGTTGAGATCATAGAGAAGGTAGTTTTCCGAAGATCTCAGTTATGACTCCATCTCTGTCACCTGACATACGCCAGCTAGAACGTGGTAAAGATTTTAGTCCGCTAAAGTAAACGCTACATCATTGCGTCCACTTGGAAAAGAACTAATTGAAAACTATTGCGTCTGCAGTAAGGCTTATGGCATCGCTTGAGGCAGACGTATTGGTGTTTTCGATTTTGTTGGCAATAGGTCGTCTGTATTGTTTCTAAAAGCAATCGTCCGATCGACAGACCACTAAATTGGTTTCTTAACCTTCTTAGGTGAATGAGTACTGTTTTACGGATCCTTTGACAATAGTCTAGCAAAATCCAACAGAGGACACCAGAGATTGGCGTCATACATTGTTTCTATCAGGGGAATCGAACCCGGGTCGTTTCGGCGTGACAAGGAAATGCTGTAACCATTAGGCTACTCTACGCCTTCTTCAGTAGCTTGTCTCGCTTGTCAAGACAATTACCTACGCATGGTATTATCACACTGGGCTTCTCAATACGCTGACATGGAGCGCGGGTGGCCCTAACCTTCTGAGGTGCTCCAATCGGGTGAGTTGTGTCCCTTTGGCATGAAGGAAATTGTGATTCTGGATACAGATACCGGTTCGGTCTGATTATGTTTCCAGGAGAGCATGTTGTGGTCGTGGATTTCACCAAAAGGTTATATGTTTTCGAACTGCATCCTCCCCCTACAAACCTGACATTGGGATATACTTAAATACTGCAGTATTGCTCAAAGCGACGTTAGTTCAAATTATCTTACCCGCTCTCTATGACAGCTCTAACATTTTCATTATTCAATTACCATGTTGGTAGATAATAACAGTATCCTGGAATGTTGTCAGCCTAAGGGCCCCATTTGGCAACCTGAGATATCTTTAGAAGAAGGAGCGATAACATTAAGGAAAGACCTGAAGGCACCTGTGATTCCCTTAAAGTGTGAAAGTTTGGTTCCTTACTTAAATGTCGAGCATAACACAGCTATATTGTAATGGCCAGCTTATGGCCAACAAAAAAGCGATAAATAAGTTACATCATCTGCTATGTGCCACATCAACAAGGTAACAGGAGAATTTCGGATTAATGGTCACAATTGGTTCCAAAGATCCCAGTAATTGTACGTGGGACCTGGTTTAGTGTCGACGTGAAGACTTAAAGACCAAAATAATGGCTTGATTCCCACGGCGTAAAATGACATTCATAAACAGTCATTTCACACATTTGTTATCAAGACTGTCCATACAGAACCATTTAATACATCACATTAAATTACGTGTTATAAGAGTTGCTAAATTGTATCTCTAATGTTGCCTGGTTTGGTGATGCGGTTTATTTCGTGGCTTTTTACTCCTTTGGTGTTGGATGTTGATCATACTATCAGTACCCGGTCTGTTTTGTCAAGTTTCGATACAATGTGCTAAGACTGCAATATTCCCGAATGGAAAAAAGGTATGCATGTTTTATGTCCCCGGTCTGGAAATCGTCACGACTAAAAGTCTCACTTATGGAAGTCTGTCGACAGTCGTTTCCAATATATAAACCTATATATATATTGATAACAATTTCACTTAAATACATCTGATCAAATTTAGGTTTAAATTACATGTTTTTATTCCTCTATTCATGTAACAAATAAGGCTATATCGTTACGATTAAACAACACCTCACACAAATCTAATTTCCAAAGTTCAAAATGAACCTTCAATCTTGCAACATTTTGTTCAATAACATTGTTTGCATGGAACCACATGTAGCTTCTTTGATAAGTTCGATACTAAAGAGATTATCTGAAGCAGCCATGCGATCTATGAAAGAAATAATATTAACTATTATCAAACACATCAAACAAATTGAATTGCCTTTAAGTATAACGTTTGGTTTTAAGCGTGCAAAAGGTCGAACACAATGTATAATCAATAATGTGCCATGTTTTGTCCCGACTGTTTAAGAGGCAAGCGCTCAGGACCCTGTTCATTCATGTGAGGGTGAATGGCAGCCACGAGTTCAGTCATATATATCTCAAAATGTATTGACTGGGAAATTGAGAAGAAGAAGAGGGAAATATACATACAAGCGGCATCAGACGCCACGGGGTAGTTAAATCTAGATTGTTTGGTACAAATATTAAATTTTATAGGTTTCGAGGTCTAGTCGAAATGTAATTGGAATCAATGAACCTTTAATACTGAATTGGATTGAATATGTCTTTGAATGCATCAAGAGAATATTACGTTTGCCTGTGGATGTTTCATGTCGAAATCAGCAACACTCAAACGAAATAACATGGCTGTGAACCAGAAACTCCAGTGATTTAAAATATGAAAACGATCTTCTTCCTCGGGGGAAACCAATGCATATGTATGCTTGTAGCAGAGCCTAACCACGCAATCCTTTAAATCGCCTCATGTGACCAACACAGTGCCCAGGGAACATATTCAATGCTGATTTCACCAGGGATGTATTTTTGTTTCATATTAATATGACTATAATATGTCTTTTGTGGAAAATAAATATTTTAGTTACGAAAAGTCATATTCCATGAATATTTCATAAGTCTGTTTCAATATGAGGGGCGTCGTAAAGTTCTGTTGTATATGACTTCATCTGCACAGCTGCGTCCCTCAGACATGTTGGCCTGTCATTGAAGATTTGCTCTGATTACAAATAGTATTATTCGTAGCATTTCACTGTATACTTAAGGTCAAACTATCTGTCAGAATTCATCATTTTAATGGCAACCCTTGATGTAGTTGACGCCAGATAGGAGACGGTTTATTTCCATGTCGCAGGATATTTGTGTAGAGTGGTTATGCGATGCGTGGATTGAAATATGATGGATCTCTCAATGAGTGACATGCGGAAGCAGACAGTATCACGATTGGCGCAAGAGCGAGTGATAATATCCTCTACCAACGCGAAGAGATGTCAGTGTCATCATATTTCAGTTGAAATGCATACATGGAATCATTATATACCAATAAAATGCACATAAAAGAGTATATCCAGATACAAATCGGTTTTCGCTTTGAATTTAGAACGTCCTGGCTGAAAGAATTTTGAATGGGTTATTAATATAAAGATAACGTTCTTCAGGGTTATCTATAGGAACAAAGCAATATTAAACATAACAATATTGATAATAAGCTTAATGCAAATCAAAAAACTTCGCCTTTGAGCATGCACTAGTGCGTGGATATTTTTGAAGACATTTACATGTAAATTTCACTATTTGATATGGTCATCAGCGGAGGGTAAATAATATAGCAGAGCTCAGTCCTTTGTCTAAACACATGTTGTGTATCTCTGTAGCTATTTCGCCACTTGTGAATTCATTTAGCATATCGGCCATGAGACGATGAAGCCATGGACATATGCTAAGTGACAGATTATTCGACAAATAAAACAATACGGTTGGACATTTATCTATTGTAGTTACTGTTGTATAATAAATCTTTATCACTTTAGTAACCGTCAATATCTTGTATCTCACTGTAAAGTGTATGATGTCCACAAACTCAATATACACACTCAATGGTATATCTGCCATTATAAACATGATTTCTATCAAACCACAGCCTGTGAATGTAGACGGAGGACTCAAAGTGATGCTGGTCCTAGTTACGACCAGCATGAAAAGAATGTAGTCTACAACCAGTTCCTTTTATCGAACCTACCGTTCGGCCGCCCGTTCCTTTCATCAGAATTTTCTGGTTCACTACGAATAGCTCCAAATTCCATGATGCGGCGTTCAACAGTCATAGTGGGCAGAGGACTGATTATAGAGATAGCATGTTGTGAAGTGAAGTCGTGTCCTGGAATCTGAGGTATTGCGTCTGTAGGAAGGTCACGAAACTCGAATGAATGATTGCTTTCAGGAACACTACAGACAAAGTATTGCCAAGAAATCGACAGCAGCAATACATCTACCTCAGGCGATGCCTCAAAATCTTACTGCAGACACAATAGTTTTCAATTAGTTCTTTTCCTAGAAGACGCAATGGTGTAGCCTTGGCTTCCAGAAGAATAAAATATCTACAACGTGCTAGCTGGCCTATGTGTTGGCGACAGTGATGGAGCCATAACTGGGATCTTCGTTCTCTACAATCTCAACACCCTCAGATAAACGTCAGATGCAAAGATCGCAAATCACCATGCGTATTTTCATAGGCCTCTCAAGCCACCATGATTCTGAGATAATCCATTCACAGCCAGCTGAAACCTCGGAGCGTATTCCACTTCTGTAATGAGATCAGTAATCACTACCCGTGTGTTAACGATGACCCAAAACTTCGCCAGTGTCTGTTTCTGTCACTTTCCAGATACACACAGACACTACATTCAGTGCCATAAAACGTAAACAAACGATCATGTACCTAAGGTTTAATGCGTAGCCATTATTCTGATGGGCATGCACGTCCCTAATATGCCTATGCACGTCCCTAATATGCCTATATGTTATGTCAATCGTTGTTACTGTCTACTGCAAAATTCAGACACTGTAAGCGTTGCTGATTTCGAAGAATTGTGCGCTACAAGAAAGGCAAGTTCTTCAACTGTGTTGGGTGCTCAGTTTGTACTTGTCGAACAAGTTTTACCAGTTTGGAAGGTATTTACCTTACAGGAACAGTAGCTGGTGCATATGACAGATTAAAGCGCCATTATGTTTACTATAAAAGTGGTAGTCTGACGGTATACTTAAAGCAAGTTATCAACAGAACTCTCATATAGGATCACTATTAAATTGTAGGCAATCTGCCATTGATATGTTAAAAAACCAAACTCTCTGGTATCTCCTGGAAACGTGTCAAGAGCTATACCACCATTCCATGAACATATAAACGAGTTTATTTTAGCGCCTTCTAAATCCAGACGTTCACAAAATGTTCCCATCCTCCTGCTCCATATATTCCGAGGGCAGAAAACAGATATGAATAAAACATCACAACCAATTGTACAGGTAATACAATTAGTAGTAAATAAAGTAACAGATAAGCACCTGAAAGCACCGTAGACGCACAGTCTGGTACTGCTGACATACAGTGTTGTGAAGCTGGAGGCAGATGGCGTTTGTGCCGTTCCTTGAACATAAAGATGTCATGTGGGTATCCATCCCCATTTTATTATGTCAGTAGAAACAGTTTTAAATATATATTCAGATGTAGATGGTATAGATTTATATAAAATTATTGTAAACATCACCCACCATGTGTTACGGAGTTCTTTGGTATTTTGATGTAATAGCACTGGTTCAAAACCGTTGTACCGTACATAATTCTAATTTGAAAAATAGATCAAATGTAATCATTATCATTAAGATCTTTATCGAATATTTCTAATTGCGTTTCTCATGACAAATACATGCACATACATACATGCTGTTTCCACAACGACTTCCACAGGGAACATATGTTTCATTAACACGGAATATGTTTAGCATGGAACACTGACCCAAAGATATAGCTGCCAATTTCACAAAATATTAATTCAAGATGTGGATGAAACAGGATAGAAAAACTCATCTAAAGGAGGGCGAACTACACATTTTGTAGTTGATGAATCCCTGTTCAAGGTACATTTCTACTCAGGAATAAAATGTTAAAAACTTCTGTTGTTTTCCTGCAAATGAGTTTGTATGGAATACGCTAGAGTGCTCACGACAACCCCACATCATATAATCGAATGCGATGAATACCGGTGCATACATGCACTTTGCACTGGAATGAAAAAAACAGCACGTTTCAGTAAAGGTGTACCTGTTACGGAATTCGATTCACACTGTTAAACAAACTGTAACACTGGAAAACTAAGTGAACTGTCGTATGTCCTTGGTATTATGGATGCAATGGAGATTTCTAATGACTAAATGTACATTGTTGGCTCGTCACTCCTAAAATTTGGGTTCGATGCTCAACATGGTTTTAATATGGGAAGCCGAGTTCCCGTCATAGTAATACCTCTAAATGTAACTATCATGGCGTAAAATATATGCTCCTGGTGGCTCAAAAAAGACAGACAATATTCACCCGAGGACAGTTTATCTATATGGCAGTTTTATTCCGACAAATGTGTACATTGATCTGGACCTAGTGTGCAACAAAACAGTGCGCAATACACTACTGGGACTTCCATTAACTGATAAATAGCTGCATTTCCATAGGAACATGGATATGGCAAAAATGTTGGAGTGAGTTCCTAATGACTTAATTATGATTTATTATCAGAATGACTGATGTGTTGAGTACTGTGTACATGAGAAAGTGTTCGATGTGGAATGAATTAGCTCCTCTCCTTCTCCATGTGGAATTCAGAACGTGTGTGAACGCTACCAAACTGGACATCGTTTTGATGTATTTTGTGCACAGTGATAAACATTACTTGGCAACCTGTACGAAAGACAAATGCCTGCTTCCAAGCAATCATACAATTGTGTTGGAAGTAACACTGAGTGATCTCATCCAGTGGCAATTAGGCCCACCCAATTCCCAATTGCTTAACCCGCATGATGACTGCATTACAGTTTCACGACCCCAAAGCTGTCCAAACGGTCTGCCACATATGATTGATGGGTTCCAACCTCTGTGGCCATACTGATCTTCATCCGTCAGCTATCCTTACACCCAAAAGAGCCCAGATTCTGTTTCTGCAGTCCCTGTCGTCGGTCCAGAACTATGTAATGCCAGAAGGTGGTTGATGAGCGCTGCGAGAGTAAAGAAAACCTAACTGTTGCCAAACAATGCAATCCGGCCCTTATATAATAATACTTACAATGCTGGCGACGTATTATCTGTGGCCCTTGTGAGACTACCGTCTGATACTCTGGTTCATCATTGAGTCAACTGCATCATACAGGGGTTTTACCATGACCCAGTGCTGTAACGTAATTTGTACGTGATGTCCGTTTGAGCAACACCAAACTTCCAAAAGAGAAAAAAAATCTCACATCTGTCGGATTACAGGTTTACACGGTTTATATAAAATTAATATCTTGACTTTTGAAGATTGAATCTCTTGCAAGGAACAGAAAGTGATGGCAAGTTTTCTCACTCACTCAGAATATACATGCTTTCACATATAGCAATATAGTATTGATTCTGGTCGAAAAAAGATTATGATAACATAACTTATGATAACACCTTTGCTTAAAACAGACTGTGAAATGTCCTTTTCGTTAGAAGATGAATGTTTAACCCATTGTCACCCATCAGACAATATTTAATTAATGTTTCATTAAAACCCCGAGTTTTGCTGCCTCGGGTGCGTGCTAACAACAGGAGTGATTATTCAAGAAATGTTCCTGGATAAAGTTTTCTGATCGGTATGATAGGACATGACAAGGCAATGTATCGGTGACGTCCATCGCGTTATCAGAATAATTAGTCAACATTAAACCTATTGTGATTGTTTATGTATGTATGTTTATGGCACTGAATGCAGTATCTGTGTTTTATGGCACTGAATGCAGTGTCTGTGTGTATTTGGAAAGTTGCAGAAACAGAAAACTGGCGAAGTGTTGGGTCGACGTTAACTCATGGTTAGTGTACACTAGAATTAGAATTACCTACGCGATATAGGTTTCCACTGGCCATGAGTGGATTATCTCAGAATGATGGTGGCTTGAGCGGCCGTTCATAATAAGCATGTTGGCGATTTCCGATCTTTGCATCTGACGTTTTTTGAGGGTGTTGAGATCGTAGAGAAGGTAGTTTTCCGGAGATGTCAGTTATGGCTCCATCCCTGTCACCTGGCAACCTCCAGCTAGAACGTGGTAACATTTTAGTCCTCTGAAAGGAAAGGCTACATCAGTGTGTCTAGTAGGAAAAGAACTAATTGAAAAGTACTGCGTCTGCAGTAAGGCTTATGGCATCGCTTGAGGTAGACGTATTGGTGTTTTCGATTTTGGTGGCAATAGGTCGTCTGTATTGTTTCTAAAAGCAATAATCCGATCGACAGACCACTAAATTGGTTTCTCGACCTTCTTACGTGAATGAGTACTGTTTTACGGATCCTTTGAAAATAGTCTAGCAAAATCCAGCAGAAGACACCAGAGATTGGCGTCATACATTGTTTCTATCAGGGGAATCGGATCCGGTGAGAAACACATGCTGTAACCATTAGGCTACCCTACGCCTTCGTAAGTACCTTGCTTCGGATGCCAGGACAATTACCCACGCAGGTATTATCACACTGGGCTTCTCAGTACGCTGACATGGAGCTCGGGTATCCCCAACCTTCTGAGGTGTTCCAATCGGGTAAGGTGTGTCCCTTTGGCATGAAGGAAATTGTGATTCTGGATTGGAATACGGGTTTGGCCTGATTATGTTCCCAGGAGAGCATGTTGTGGTCGTGGATTTCACCAAAAGGTTATATGTCTTCGAACTGCATCCACCCCACCCCACCCACACAAACCTGCCATTGGGATATACTTAAATACTGCAGTATTGCTGAAGGTGGCGTTAGTTCAAATTATCTTACCTCTCTATGATAGCTCTAACATTTTCACATTTTTCATTTTCATCCTAGAATGTTCTCAGCCTAAGGGCACCATTTGGCAACCTCAGATATCTTTGGAAGAAGGAGCGATGGCATTAAGGAAGAACCTGAAGGCATCTGTGATTTCGTTAACGCTTGAAAGTTTAGTTCCTTTTTAAATGTCGAGCATAACACAGCTATATTGTGATGGCCAGCTTACATCATACAGCAACGGATCTGCATGCCAAAATAATGCCTTGATTCCAAAGTCGTAAAATGAGATTCATTAACAATCATTTCACAAATTTCTTTGTGAAGACTGCCCATATAGAACCATTTAATACACTTCTAAGTAGTCGGATCGAATAAAATAGTAGTATATTACTTGTAAGAGTCGCTAAATTGTGTCTATAAAGTTGCCTGGTTTGGTGTTGCAGTTTATTTCGTGGCTTTTTTTTCCTTTGGCCCTGGATGTTGATCATACTATCAGTACCCGATCTGTTTTGTCCAGTTTCGGTACCATGTGCTAAGACTGCAATATTCCCGAATGAACAGAAAGTATACATTTTTATGCCCACGGTCTGGAAATCGTCACCAAAAACCTCATTGTAAGTCTCTCGACAGACATTTCCAATACATATACCTATATATTTGTCGACTGGAAGCTAATGTTGATAACAATTTCACTTAAATACATTTGATCAAAATTAGGTTTAAATTACATGTTTTATACCAGTATTTATGGAACACAATAGGCTACATTGTTACGATAAAAACATCTCACACAAATCTTATTTCAAAGATCAAATCAACCGTACCATGGCTTCATTCTTGCAACATTCTGTACAATAACTTTGTTTGCATGGAACCACATGTAGCTTCTTTGTTAAGTTCGATACTAAAGAGATTATTAGAAGCAGTCATGCGATCTATGAAAGAAATAATATTAAATATTATCAAACACATCAAACAAATTTGAATTTCCTTTTTAAGTATAACGTTTGGTTTAAAGCGTGCAAATGGTTGAACACAATGTCTAATCAATATTGTGCCATGTTTTGTCACGACTGTTTAAGAGGCAAGCGCTCAGGACCCGGTTCATTCATGTGAGGGTGAATGGCAGCCACGAGTTCAGTCATATATATCTCAAAAGGTATTGACTGGGAAATTGGGAAAAATATGAGGGAAATATACGTGCAAGCGGCATCAGACGCCACAGGGCAGTTAAGTCTAGATTGTTTGGTACAAATATTGAATTTAATGGTTTTGAGGTCTAGTCGAAATGAAATTGGAATTAATGAACCATTAACACTGAATTGTATTGAATATGTCTTTGAATGCATCAAGGGAATATTTTGTTTGCCTGTGGATGTTTCATGTCGAAATCAGAAATACTCCAACGAGATATCGTGGCTGTGTAAATTCAAGTCTGAACCACAAACTCCAGTGATTGAAAATATGAAAACGATCTTCTCCCTCGGGGGAAAGTAATGAAAACATGTAGCAGAGCCTAACCACGCAATCCTTTAAATCGCCCCATGTGACCAACAGGACGCAGGGAACATATTCTATGCCGATTTCGTCAGGGGTGCAGTTGTGTTACATATTAACGAGATGTCTTCAGTGCAAGATAAACATTTTAGTTAGCGTATAGTGATATTCCATCAATATTTCATACGTTTGTTGCAATATAACGGGCGTCAGGGATTCCTGTTGTTTAAGGCTGTATTTGCACAGTTGAATCTCTCGGACATGTAGTGATCCTCGGAATTTCTGACTTGCTCTGATTATGAGTCAAGGTTTATCAGTACCACCCCATGCTTATGATTATTACCAAAGCCTTAAACATAAAGACACTACAGCACATTCGGCTTTCCCGTCATTAGGCTAACACGGCATGAACAATTATCACACTGTGTACTGTACTATGTGCTATACACTATGCAAATGACCCTGATTTCATCATAGCGTGGGATCTCTTACATTCTTGAAAAAACCGTACCATTAATCCTTAATTACAGATAGTATTATTCGTAGCATTTCACAAGAACTGTATACTTAAGGTCAAATTATCTGTCACAATTTATCATTTTAATGGCAACCCTTGACGGAGTTGACGCCAGATAAGAGACGGTTTATTTCCATGTCGCAGGATATTTGTGTAGAGTGGTTATGCGATGCGTGGATTGAAATATGATCGATCTCTCAATGAGTGACATGCGGAAGCAGACAGTATCACGATTGGCGCAACAGCGAGTGCTAATATCCCCTACCCACGCGAAGAGATGACAGTTTCATCATATTTCAGTTGAAATGCATACATGAAATCATTATATACCAATATAAGGCACATAAAAGAGTATAACCACATACAAATCGGTTTTCGCTTTGAACTTTGAATTTAAAACGTCCTAGCTGAAATTACTTTAACTGGGCTGTTGAGCTAAAGATAACATTTTTCAGGGTTATTTATAGGAGAAACGCAAACTTACACTCTGAAATATGAACTAAATGTAAAGAAAACCTTCAACTTCAGTTTTGAAGTCATTTCACATTTAAATGACACTATTTGATATGGATATTAACTGACGATAACTATTACAGGACAGCTCACTACTTTATCTAAACTTATGTTGAGTGTCTGTGTAGTTATACGTCACTTGTGAATTCATTTAACAAGTTAACCATGACACGATGAAGCCATGGACATTTAATGACAGATTATTCGACAAATAACACGATGCACTCGGACATTTCTCTGTAGTAGTTTCTGTTGTATAATAATTTTTTGTCACTTTTGTAACTGTCAATATCATGTATCTCACTGTGAAGTGTATGATGTCTGCAAACTCAATATACACTCCCAATTGTAAATCCACCATTGTAATAATGTCGTCAGATCACAGCGTGTCAGTGTAGACGGGGAACCAAACTGATGCGGTTCCCAGTAATGTCTAGCATCAAAAGAAGGTATGAAGCTGTCAACCTCAATACAACCATACTCAGACCAAGCTTATATTCTACCATCATAGGATACTGAAGCGCGCAAGGGACTTAACTCCGCAAAGCGTCTCTGCCACCCGTCCCTTCTATCAAGACTTTGAGGCTTGCTGCGAATAGAACTCCGTATTCCATAACGCGGCGTTCAATAATCACCCCTTACTCAGCAAACAGGCAGAGGACTGATTATAGAGATGGCATGCTGGGAGGGGAATTCTTGTCCTGGAATCTGAGATATTGCGTCTGTACGAAGGTCACGAAACTCGAATGAATGATTGCTTTCAGGAACACTACAGACAAAATATTGCCAAGAAATCGACAGGAGCAATACGTCTACCTCAAGCGATGCCACAAGTCCTACTGCAGACACAATAGTTTTCAATTAGTTCTTTTCCTAGAAGACGCAATGGTGTAGCCTTGGCTTTCAGAAGGGTAACATATCTACAACGTGCTAGCTGGCCTATGTGATGGCGACAGTGTATGGAATCATAACTGGGATCTTCGTTCTCTACAATCTCAACACCCTCAGATAAACGTCAGATGCAAGGATCGCAAATCACCAACATGCGTATTTTCATAGGCCTCTCAAGCCACCATGATTCTGAGATAATCCATTCAAAGCCAGCTGAAACCTACCTCGGAGGTTATTCCACTTCTGGAAGGAGATCAGTAATCACTAACCGTGTGTTAACGTCGACCCAACACTTCGCCGTTTCTGTTTCTGCCACTTTCCAGATACAAACAGGCACTACATTGACTGCCGTAAAACATAAACAAACGAGGGAAGATAATCTACCTTAGGTTTAATGCTCAGCCATTATCCTGATTAGTATGCACGTAACTAATATACCTCCTTGAATACCTACCAGAAATATTCAAACTGGAAAATGTTCTTATTCGTATTCATTGTTTAAACAACATTTTATGTGTGAAAAGTATTTAACAGACGTAAGTATACGGAAATTAAGAGTATCGTTATCGCAGTTTCGATCTGGCTACTATGATTTAATGTATTTTAAAAGAATATGTCATGTTACTGAGAGCCAATCCTGCAAAATGTGTGACAGGGATATTACCGAAGATGAATACCATGTCCTTCTCATCTGTCCACAGTATGAAGACATAAGAAAGTATTATATACCATCTAAGTACACATCCTGTCCCACATCTTACAAATTCAGCATACTAATGTCAACAGAAAATGTACAGCTACTTCAGAATATTGCTACGTTTATAAACCATGCACTGTTAAAACGCAAACGCGCTTGTACCACACACCCATTGTGACTGTTTTTTACTTGTACTATGGGCCTCTGGCCTACAGTTCAGAAATAAAGAACTCTCTCTCTCCCTGAATTGTGGGCTGAATGAAAGGCTAGTTGTTCACCTGTGGGGTACTCAGAGCAGGACTCATGGTCAAATTGATATTTCAATCAAAGTGGAATCGATGACAGGAAAACAGGAATACTGGTTATGGCAAATCTGGGATTCGAATTATGTCACACATATGTGCACCTCGAACCTGACGCCTGACGCAAATAGGTAATCCTTGATGTCACCATTATTTCGCAACACACACTTTGTCCTCGAACAGCGACCCTCTGACATGTAGGTTTGGATAGGCGTGATGTTGTAGCTCGACACTTAGAGTGCAGATGTCGGGGTGCCAGAGCAAGAAAGTATGTTCGAATCCCTATGTGCAGATTATGATGTCTGTTTTGTGTTCACCGGACCCATACCAATACATGCAGTCTTGTAGATCCCTGCTACTTCCACACAACGGTGTTTGATGCTCTGAATGTGTAGATGGATAGATAGATAGATAGATAGATAGACATACATACAGACAGACAGAGAGACAGATAGATAGATAGATAGATAGACAGACAGACACATGGACATACAGACACATAGACAGACAGACAGACAGATAGACAGACAGACACATAGATAGACAGACAGTAACATAGACAGACAGACAGATAGATAGATTTGTTAGTTAGTGTACGTATGTGCATGTGTGCATGCCTGCTTTATTATATCGTGAAATCGTTTATTGAGGTGTTTCCCAGAAGCCGTACCTCCCTCCCCACGTCGCTTTATAACCCCCATCATTCATCCTCTGCTTCTCAATCCTTTCCTGTCTTGCAAGAACCGTTGGTTCAGCTTTGTATTCAGGCCTCAATAGCCCCGCAATCATTTTACTTGAATGTCACCAAGGTTCCTATTGAGTGTTTTTAGAGGGACCAGTGAAGAAGATAGATGGCTCAATTTCCTACTGCGGTTTTACACCGACTGTACGGTTTTTGTAATTACTGAACACATCAACCAAGTTCCAATGTTTAGTCTACAGAGGTACACACCAAAGTGCTCTGAAATAGATTTAGCAGTGCATCATCAGTTCGATGTAATGATGTTTTTTTTAAACGAAAAAAATAATCAATTGGATTTTCTTTAAACGGTTGTTTGAAAATAATTTAGAATTCACTTCTTCCAGGCAACGGTTCTGGTTGGCATGAACTACAAGAATTAGTTTTGGGTTGTTTTTTCAAACTGCAAGCATTCCTTTCAAACCTTGCCACGTGGAAACAATATTCAATACATTTCAACATCGTTTGTGGGACGTCGTAGACCGGAAACTACATATGCCAGACAAGTAACTTTCTTGGACGTCTTCATGCAAACCCGCATATGTTAAGCCATAAATTAACTATTCGTTAATCCGGACATCTGGTGCGCAGGTTGTCTGATTGGAAACAAAAGTGTCTGGATTAATGGGGTTAACTTTGAATGTACGAGTGCGAACAGGTCACGTCAGTGTAAAAGAGAAGGTCATTACGAAGTGGTATTGATTTGTTGTCCGGGATGTGTCAATCCCAACAGTATCACATGGAATGAGTCGTCCCAGACTGGAATATCAGGGCCATACTGTCTTGTCATATATTGTCTTATATATAGTCTGTACTTTTTGTCCCATCAAACGTGGAATAAAATCGAGAAACTGTAATTGACTGGGATACATTTCTGAATTGGTAGCCTGGTTGTCAACAAAACAAATGGAAACCCGTGTGAACATATTATAATCGATTGTAAAATCCACCAGTGTGATCAGACATAAATATATTCCAAGTAGTTTAAATAAGAATATGAATATGATGCTAATGATGATGGTGATGATCACGACGATGATGATGGTGATGATGACGATGAAAGCAAAAGTGACTGTAACGACCAAACGTTAGTGACGATCCACGGTATTCACGAATAGGTCACCTTATCCTGCACCGACCCGTGAAGATCCGGGGTAGAATAGGTCTTCAGCAACCCATGCTTGTCATAAAAGGCGACTATGCTTGTCGTAAATGGCGACTAACGGGATCGGGTGATCAGGCTCGCTGACTTGGTTGACACATGTCATCGGTTCCCAATTGCGCAGATCGATGCTCATACTGTTGATCACTGGATTGTCTGGTCCAGACTCGATTATTTACAGACCGCCGCTATATAGCTGGAATATTGCTGAGTGCGGCATAAAACTAAACTCACTCACTCAATTATCCTGCACCACCAAAATCAAAGTGACTCCATCACTGATGAGTATGACTATACGACAGCGTCAGTCAAACGGAAAGACGTTACTTTGGGAAACGCCACCATCAAAGAATTAATTCGCTCGTATGGCATTGCATCAGAAAGTTCATTTCCAGAGCCTGCAAGCATTTGTTCCCATACTGACTTTGATTCCTGTATCCCTGTCCTACTGTCTTATGGTTTTACACCAAAAACAAACAGCTTAGACCACCGTCAGTGTTACAGGTGATGCTGTGATATTACTAAACTGCCAAGGAGTTCAACAAATCTCATCGTACTATCCACTATCGAGTAATTGGAAGCCAAAATTGAAGAAGCAAAAACATATTCTCTTAAACTAACCCATATCCTTGGCTGACTGACTGACTGAGTTTAGTTTTACGCCGCTTTTAGCAATATTCCAGCAATATCACGGCGGGGGACACCAGACATGGGCTTAACACATTGTGCGCATGTGGGGAATCGAACCCGGGTCTTCGGCGTGACGAGCCAACGCTTTAACCACTAGGCTACACCACCACCACCACCACCATACCCTTGGACAACCGGGATCACAATGAATATTTTCTTACTTAAGGGTCTTTTCCCACATATCCAGATCAATCAAATGTCCAATCAACCGGGTTTGGACGGATGGGGGATATTCGTTGTGACCTGATGAATTAAAACGTCAATGATATGCATGCTCGCGCCTTGGTCACATAAGAGGAACACACCCAAACAGAAAATAATTCATTCAATGAAGACGGGTACGAAACAAAAGCAAGAGCTTGGCTTTTCACAAACATATCGTGATGGAGAAAGTGATAAGGTCACTGACATCGGCAATGAAAGATTAATCGAGCAGTCAGGTGTCTTTGTTTCGGTTAATGAACTCACTTGTCAACACAGATTCTATTGAACTACACACGGGCACTCAACCAGATCGAAACACCACTCATATAGAAATATTTATCCATTCACTGCAACGAGGGAACTCAATAAAGGTTTTAATTTGAAGGGTAATTACATGATGAATATGCATGTAGTAATCAGAATTCACTACAATTACCTACAAATTCATCTTGGTAGGATGACTTCACACGTGGTTAACAGTATTCAGTCATATCACGGCTTGTCAACTTCGTGTGTGAGGAAAACTGGAAGTGATATGGGTCTAAGATGTTTACCAGGTTAACATTTGGTAAAGCCCACGAGGTTATCGGGCTGGAAACGTTTGAAATATTGGGACAAACATGCACGTCTCTTCTTGGTTGGTTGTTTAACGCCGCACTCAGCAATATTCCAGTTACATGGCGACGGTCTGTAAATAATCGAGTCTGGACCAGACAATTCAGTGATCAACAGTATGAGCATCGATCTACGCAACTGGGATACGATGACATGTGTCAACCAAGTCAGCGAGCCTGACCACCCGATCCTGTTAGTCGCCTCTCACGACAAGTATGGGTTACTGAAGACCAATTCTAACCCGGATCTTCACGGGTAATGTCTCTTGTGCGCCGAAGGGACGTAACTCAGCACATCGAATGGCGGCGCATGAAAAGACCCGTGTCCCCTTTATCTTGTAAAAACATTTTAAAGGAAGATATAAGGAAATAAGTATGTTTCATTTTCCCCCAGACTGTTACATCCCGACTGGATGGCTACAGTAACGGAAATGATTCCCATCTTGCCACGTTAACGTTTTGCCAATCGTTAGTGCAAACTGATTTCGATTATTGCCTTCAAAGACCGTTTTACACCGAAGAATGTAATTAAACCATTTTTATTTTCAAACACATTTCCTTCAGCTGTGCTTATACAAAACGATCCGTCTACCCCAAATCTTTACTTCACCAACATCGACAAAAACGACTTTGTCAAGCATTATGTTATTTCAGACGGACACTTTGTGAGCAAAGCAATCATTCATGCAGGAAGATGGAGTTATAACGTCACTTATATTTTCACACAGCATTATATAATGTTGAATTTAATCCAAACCCGTCTTCAAAGCAGTTTCTTCTGAGCCTGAATCTAGCTTTTTCTGTAAACGCACTGGATCAAGTTGAAATTGATCGTCTTAAAAACAGCGACAATATTCTATTTGATTTTAATTGGGCGGTGTGATATTTGGCGTGATAATGGAAACCGACGTTGCCAACAAATGTTGTCCTTGCCCACCATTGATGCCCCTTGTGCTTGTGTGCCGCATGGAAGCGATCAAACTTCAAACAGAAAGACTTTTCGAATGTGCTTTAGAATCGATATTGCTGTTCATATCACGGAAAATTGATTAATTTTGTGATAAAATGCGCAATTTTCCCTATCAGATCTAGACAGACACTGATTAGTATTTCAAATCTGTAAACATAAGCCCCATCGGAATCTGTTTCCATATGTTAATTCTTTGATGAATTTATTTTCTTTTGCTATTTTGATGCACGTTTCATCTGATATGCTCTGAAGCATAATAGGTTGATATCCCCTTTCCCGTCTATGCATCAGCATGTAACGATGTCTTTTCAACCACAAAACCAGACTTCAGTTGACCTTTACAAGTTTGTTATATGCTATTCATATATGGCTACGCTACTGTTGAAAATCAACGTTCTCTCTTGCAAGTTCATCCTCAACCACGCATCAGACATAGGTCTACGGTTGGAAGTGAATAAAAAAGGAAATAACAAATGGGGACAGAGATTAAAATCATTTTATGTAACAAAATACTATTTGATGTTACTTTTTCACCAGAAATAAATATAAAATCCCTCCATCACTAAGCTGCCACAGTGGCCCGACTGTAATATTTAAAATATATTTAGCACTTGAAGCAAGTACCTTAGCATTTTAGAACAAGATCGAAATAGCTTTCTATAACCATAATCAAATCGTTTTATCTCAAAACAATCTAGTATATTTAGCAATTAGGGAGGAGAATATTTCAGGACAAGGAAAAAGTATTGTTCTAATAACATTTAATCATAATCTCTCTATTACGAAGCGATCGTTATTTCCAACTTTAAGTAATTGATGAATTACAACCAACTACAATAATATCAAACATTTCAAAACTTTTCATTGTTGTCTGCATGCACACAAGTACGGTTGTGTCAAACTTCAGTTTACAATTAGGATAGTTCAGGAATATTTTATTAGGAAGATATGTTGAAGATGTACAAGCATGATAAATGAACATTGGAGTCTTTCAAGAGTGGAGTTAGGTCGGATGCACATAGTGAGTGAGTTTAGTTTTACTCCGCACTAAGCAATATTCCAGCTGTATGGCGGCGGTCTGTAAATAATCGAGCCTGGACCAGACAATCCAGTGATCAGCAGCATGAGCATCGATCTGCGCAATTGGGAACCGATGACATGTGTCAACCAAGTCAGTGAGCCTGACCACCCGATCCCGTTAGTCGCCTCTTACGAGAAGCATGGGTTACTGAAGATCAATATTCTAACCCGGATCTTCACGGGTCGGATGCACATAGAAAGGCAGTTATAAGTATGTACTTCCTAGATATCGAATTCTGGACCAGCCTGCATAAATTTAAACTTGCCACATTGAATGACATTGCTCACAAAGTCTTTCAGTTATGTTTTATATCTGTTAACTTTAATCAATGAGAACTGCATATATTGTTCAAAGGCGGTTCTGAATCTTTTAAAATTGATTTTAAACAAAAAGTAATTTCTATTAAGTATCAACTCCAGCTGATCATTAATAATGACTGACTATACCTACAAAATTGGCACAATAAGTGCATACAGTTGTACAATAATTCTATGTTTGTACAGTTGACGCATTCCCATGACTGAACATACTGTGTAATTTGAGACACAACACCAGGCTGGTTGTTTTCCGTTTTCCCAACACACAGCTGACATTACAAAAGGTAGAAAAACACATTATTTGTTCAACCTATCGCTCTGTTGATCAATCTCCATATGTAACTTGAAGTACAATTCAGAAACAAGCAAGTCCTGTCCAAACTGCCACCGTCCATGACATGGTGTTTTATACTTTACAGTGGCAGAGAATGCAAAAAGGCAACATGCTGCCTCGACAAAATTGACGGAGTAATGAGCCTTGCGGGCTAGCTGCAAGACTGGCACTGGAGTATTGGAGGCAGTAGTTACTCTCTGCCGAAGGGAGTGCAAGTCCCCACGCGTATATTCTCTGCGTATCAGTGGAACACTCGCTGTAAGTACCACTCATATTTTCTACTCCTGGGACACATCGTGTCTAGTCAGCTAGAAATGCTCTATATGTAGCTGTACACTAAAGTATTTGGTCCACACATCTGTATGCTACAACTATGTCCAAATGTATGTTAAGCGTGTTCTGCAACAATGTTCTTTAAATTAGAGTAGTCAATGACATGCATTTAAGTACACAACATTTGATCTACGCAGTGCGGGCTATGTGTATGAGACCTATACCCGAATACACTGCATATGATCTATATGTACTATGTATGCAGTACCTGTATGCACTATGGATGAGTCATACAATTACCCTCTATATGTAATCTATGACCAGTGCACTAGACATTGTATATGCTTCACATAATTTTACGGTTCATGTGATATATATTATAATTTATATATACGGGAGCTAGACATCAATAATTGTGCACTGGTTGTAATCCATACAGTTTTACACTGTATGGTAGGAACTATACTTATTGAGAGTGTGACGCTCTGTGCAACATATGGAATTCGTTTTGAGCTGAATATTAGGACAATGTGCTTGTCCACGTAGATATGCTGCTATTATGTTCAAATCTATGTAGATGCAGGTTATGATTATAGCAAATACATGCTAATATGAAACATCATATAAGAAACAGGACGCATGTTAGATGGAAATGAAACAGTGAACACACGTATCCCTGTCTGCGTATATGCATATACGAGCGTCTTGTGATGTCGGATGCAGAGCATACGGAACATGTTGGTATGTCCTAGTATGCATTGGTATGCATTCCAATTTTCTACTAGATATCTATGCATTGGTTGCTTTGTCAGAGGTAGGTAACCTCGCAGGTAACCTTTTTTTATGTTTCTTGGGTTAACGAAAGGATTTAAAAGCATGTTGGTACTTAATACCAACGTTGTAGGAGCGTTGATTTTGTGTCGATATCTATGTAGTCGCATACATAGCATATGTATCACGTTAAAACCGTCTATATTATTCACAGCAGGCCCTTCGTGGATATTTCACCGTCCCTTCATGTGGTATTAAAATGTCGTTGAATATGGGCCAAATGCATTAGTTAGTTCAAATAGTAAATAATATATAATAGTTAGAATTGTGTGTGGATGACAATTCTTCTCGATGGTGCCCTAATAATAATGATGATAAAGACATTTGAAATGTGCTGAATTCCGCACCATGGAGGGGCACGCTAAATCTACAATCTGATTATTATTACCACGGATAACCCAAGCTGCATGTGAGGCGCTAGAAGGTTAGTAGACACATCCCTTATCCTACCGGGTACCCATTTTCTCCTGGGTGAACAGATGCCTTAAGTGATTGTAGATCACAAGGTGCACAAGGTTGCACCAGGTTGCATTACGGTGTACAGGGCATAAAACTGATGCCGTGTTGCACATGGATATTATTGTGTACGCATGTGTATGTCTAAAACAGAAATCAATATTCATGCCTGCTTTCTGACATGCAAAACACTATTGTATAATTATGCATACATCTACATATAAGTCGTCAACAACCCTCGGTTTAATTTAATTTTCATACGATATTTGTTTGAAAACTGCAGTCTTGTTTCAAAGATTTTAACATGACTCCTTGATGAGAAATCACTTAAAACACACCGAAGCATTTACAATTCGTTTCCTGAGGTTGTAAAGTGATTAACACATCTCGCTATTGAGCAGCAAGTCAAAGAGACTAATAAAGAGTCAGCGAGAGCATAGGGGCTTACTAATGCTATTATTACCATACGCTCTGCGCCGTCTTAACAGGAACTGTTCTGACATATAAGTCATGACGATATTCAGCATCATTGTTTAGTAGACAGCTGGTGCTATTCTAACAGTAGAAATTGTTCAGAAGGATATTGATATCTTTCGTTGGCATTCTTAAACCAATCGACCCCTTTAAATTGCTGATGGGTATAATTTCACATCGGTTTCCACGTCGTAAGCCTTCTCATACCTAAGGAACCCACACATTGAAGAGAAATGTTTTAACGGGTCCATTAACCCAAAGAAATGAACTTATTGGATATTCATTGTATCTCAAATTTCCATTTATATGGTTAGTGGATGAGCTGAGGAAATATAATAGGAAGGATGTCCGCGGGGTGTCTTAAAAAGTACTTTACTAAATGGTTGTTGAATGTAAAAGCACAAAGTTCACGACATTCTAGTTCAGTGTAAATGACCATACATTATGCTTCGTGTCAGCTCCTCGCAGCGAAGTTCCTGTGGTAGAGAATACATACCTTAGACACATATCTCATTTCTCTTTACCGGTATCCGGTTAAGACAGATAATGGATGTTATTTATGCGTTCGAATAACCGAAAGGTGGAAATGGCGTGTCACTCATTCTAGTGTTATGCTCTTGTCATCTGCTTAGCTATGACATACGAACCAAATGATTTTTTTCTAGGAAGTGTAAATTGTTGACTTTAGGGACAATAGACGCATAACATATAGGAAATTGGGGAGTGATTTACATTATTATGTCGCTGCCGAGAAGTGAACCCGAGTGGCATTTTCATGGATAGGCACTTTAAGCACATGGCTGCCCACCGCTTACAAGTGTGTTGGGACACCTGTGGCGAAGTGGTTATGGTGCTGCAATTTATGGTCTTGGGTTCGATTCCCGGTTAGTCAGCACCAACCCGGATTCGTGGGTTTCACCGGAATGGTAGTCGTGTTCCGACCATTTTGAGCTGACACGGTGTGATATCACTTGAATGCTGATCAAATCGGCGTTGAACCCAAATAACTCACTCACTTAGTGCCTTTATGCGGTGAATGTAAAGATTTGTGTTGTACATCTTTGTGATGGAATTGTGTGTGTGCACTCAGTTAGATGACGGTATGGAAAGTCATCCTATAAAGATCAAGGACTACGGGTAGCCTAGTGGTTAAAGCGTTCACTCGTCACGGTGAAGACCCGGGTCAGATTCCCCACATGGGTACAATGTGTGAAGCATATTTCTGGTGTCCCCCGCCGTGATATTTCTGGAATATGGCTAAAAGCGGCGTAAAACTAAACTCATTCAGTCACGTATATTCACACCAAATAGTGTTAAATCTTTCAGCTCCAACAATATCCCATTGTCAATATACGTGCTTTTTTGTTACGAAAATATTGTTAAAAAATGCAACGGTTTTGAATGAGTGAGTGAGCGAGTTTAGTTTTACGCCACACTCAGCAATATTCCAGCTGTATGGCGGCGGTCTGTAAATAATCGAGTCTGGACCAGACAATCCAGTGATCAACAGCATGAGCATCGATCTGCGCAATTGGGAACCGATGACATGTGTCAACCAAGTCAGCGAGCCTGACCACCCGATCCCGTTAGTCGCCTCTTACGACAAGCATGGGTTACTGAAAATCAATATTCTAACCCGGACCTTCAAGGGTTGCAATGGTTTTGAATATTATGTTATAAGCCTAAGTTGACCCAAAATTAATATTGATAACTTCCGTCCAAATTTGCATAACACTTAACAGTAATTATTGTTTTATTAGTATCACTATTACATCATGATAATATTCTTTTCAACGCGCATAAGCGATACCAGAATTCAATACAGAATCTCATCCTTTCCTCTTACTTTGACTCGTGTGAGTTTTGTCTGAGTATATACAACTCTACTCGTATTTCCCTGCGGGTTGCGATTGTTTATTGTATCTAACGTGGCAGGGTAATCGTGAACACATGTTACATCGCTGGGATACGCATGAATGTACGTTTCGCCACGTGCCTTTCAGATGGCCATACATCCTGGTCATGTACCTTCATGGTATAACGTTAACCAGAGACCATATACTGATACATGGTGTTTGGTATAGCTTCCCTTTACCTGGCGCCCATTAACGTGTTATGGCAAATTTCGCATTATCAACACAATTCTGGAGCGGTACGTGCATTTCGGAGAAAATGGTCTTGGCTGGCGATAGCGGGCGATTAAATTCCCCCTGCATCATTTACTGGGATGCTTCATAGCTGTGTTATCACTTCAACGCATGATCTGTTTACAGTGTTTGTGTGTAACATGGTGAAAACTGCAACATGGCATGACCGTGATATGCTTTAATTGTCTTAAATGACTCAATCCCGATACACGCTTCAACATCAAAGCTTACACGGCAGTGTGGGTCCTTATCGAAGTAAATATTTATAACCTGGCGGCAGGGGGTGGGGATGTGGGTAGGGGGCGGAGGGTTGATGGGGTCTGTGCAAGAACGTTTGGATGCAAGATGCAAGCTGGGAGTCTTGAGATAAGAACATGCAACAATTTAATTACGGTTGTTCCATTAGGGAAACATGTGTTACGTATCGATACAACTTTCTGCTGACTTGTATCTATAATCGTGAAATATATAATAATTTATTCAGTGGATAGATCCCAAGGGCTCGTGGAGGTTTGAGATAGGCACGTGCTGCCGTTAAGCCTGCAGTGAGTGATTCATGCGGGATTATATTTTCAATGTCACATACGATAGTTCTGGGTTGAATATGCACATAGTGATATGTAAACATGGATGAACAAAGGAGTGAAGCTTCTATTTTGACATTTGATATACATCAATGTCAAGCATAAGACAGAACGATTTATCAATGGCAGTCCTTTAATAACTTAAGCTGTTCTGCCGATGTTAACAATACCGAAACTAAATCATACAGAACCAAACTGCCCTAAACAGACACGAAGGGGCAGGGGACACAAGGTCGTCTAAGATGCTGCCTTACGCTTTGTAGAGTTGCGTCCCTTGGGTACGTCAACGATCTAACATCTTGGGTTCGAATTTATGTTCTCCCTGTTTTGGTTGTATGTGTGTCGGGTAGCGCAGTTGTGTTAGGCGCTAGCGTTAGCTGTGCGGAGTTACGTCCCCTTGGTACGTCAGAGGTCTGTCATTTTGAGTTTGAATCCCTGTTGCGTCGATTGTTGTTCTATGAGTGCCGAGTAGCCCAGTCGTATAAGGCGCTGAAATTCTCTCTGCAGGGTTGCGTCCCTTTCGTATGTCAGATAATATGATCATGGGTTCGAATCCCTGTTTCGTCGATTGTGGTTCTATGTGTATTTGGGCGGTGGGATAGCCTATAGTGGTTCTATGTGTATTTGGGCGGTGGGATAGCCTATAGTGGTTAAAACGTTAAAACGGGTTCGATTCCCCACATGGGTACAATATGTGAAGCCCATTTCTGGTGTCAACCGGGGCGATATTGCTGCAATATTGCTAAAAACGGAGTAAAACTAAACTCACTCACTCATGTTCTGTGTATTGGATAGCCCAGTAGCCTGTGGCTCTGACATTTGCTGTGCAGAGATGCATGCCCTAATACGTGAGAAACCTGTGACCATGGCTTCGAACCAATGTTCCGTCGATTTTAGTTCTTGGTGTGTCAACTCCAAACCCTTGTTTGTGACTTTCAACGAACTGGTAAATGTCAGAGAACTACATCACTTCCCCTCCACATCTGGCTGACACACTATGATAACTGGAATACCGTTAAAACGCCGTCGTTAAACTCACTCAAAAGAATATCGGACAAATCACTTCATCCATGACATAAAAACGCGTAGGCGCATTTATACTAAGATCTGCGGGACTTCATCACTAGTCTCTCAACTCCATCAATTCACATATGTCAAACTCTGTCTGAGATTGATACTTACAACAAGTCTCTATGGCTGTGAAATATTACCTAACATTAGAGGTCAACAAGCCGATGCACTTGAACTTACACAACGATATTTTGCTCGTATTGTGCAGGGGCTTGATGAAAGATCATCAACAGACTCTACTATTGCAAATTTGGGATTGTGGACACTTATTGGCTACATCGACAAATGTAAACTCATCTTTCTTGGACGTCTTTACAAAATCTCTTGCAATAATTTTGCCAAAAACATATTTTGTGCAACAATAACCACATCTACAAAATCCCCTTCAATCTGTGATGATCTACTGT